AGAAATCAAACACAGAGTATGGAGGAACAATCCGCCCGCCCGGATTTGAGAGAAGTCACAGACCCATAGTCATCTCACCAACCAATGGTGAAATTCTCACACCTGACAGAAGGTAGGGGAGGTACAGGGAAGATATGGGGGCTAGAAGACTCGATCTGGATCTGGATATAGCAGCTGCAACAACGGAGACAAGTTTTTTCATTGGAGAAGAGGGAGCTAGGGAAAACAAGTTGATGGTGCAGATAGCCCTAAGTCTTGGGCTTATGGGTGCGTCGGCCCAGATGGGTGAAATGGGAGCCCAAGCTGATGTCACAAATCTGGCCCAAGTGGATTCAAAGAGGCCCAATTACATCAATATGATAGCAACTATGAGCAAGACCAGACCATTAATAAAGGGGAGATGGGCCGTAATAACAAAAAAATAAAAAAGGAACCTGCCTGGTTGCGGGAGGGTTGACTCAAGTTGGGCTTGATGAAGCCAACCAAGCCGATTTGGGCATAACTTCTCCTACTTCTTCATTTACAGGGACATGAAGCAATAGGAAGAAGAAAAATCACAAATCCAAAGCTTCATCACCTGGAACAAGGAAGGAGTTGGAGATGGGAGGAGCTAAAGATAAGGCAGCAATGGTTCGTCAAAAGCCACCTCACTCATCAGAGCATCGTAAGTTGGAATTGTAGGGGGTTTGGGCCTCCCCTTACAAGGAGCTATGATAAACGACTCTTTCATCGTTATAGTCTCTCAATCGTTTTTCTTATGGAAACATGTAAAAACAAGGCCTTTATGGAAGAAAAAAGGAGTTTCCAAATTTTCCCCAATAGAGAGTATGTGGAACCATATAACTCCTCTAGGGGTTTTGCTTTGTGGTGGAAGTCGGTTATAAATATTAGTCTTAGTAGTAGTAGTAGTAGCTACTATATTGATGTTAGTATTGGTATGGGTAGAAAGTTCTATTGTACTTTTGTTCATGCACCCTCTACATTGTTGGTAGAAGGGAATTTTGGGAACTACTTAGCTCTTTTTGTAGTAGTAGGGAGGATAGTTGGTTTGTAAATTGTAATTGGCGACTTCAATGCCGCTATCTATGATTATGAAAAAGAGGGGAGGTGTCCTCTTAGATACGAGATTGTGGAACCTTTCAAGAGGTTCATCTTTCACAAAGCCCTTATTGATCTTGGCTTCAAAGGTGGGCCATTCACATTGACGAACAGACGTACCGGTATCTACACAGTACGAGTGATACTGGATCGTGTTTTGTGCTCTACTTCTTGGAGATCACATTTTGATGAATTGATGGTGTTCCATGAAAAGATGGTGGAATCAGATCATTGTCCAATTAGGATGGACCACTATTATCGTGGGACTATAAGAAGGAGAATCCCGTTTAGGGTGGATGAGAGGTGGCTTGACAAAGAAGAGTGTCAAGGAATTATTTCTCGAGTGGGACTTGGGTGGAACATCATCTAAACAACTCAACAAGTGTGAGAGGGATCTGAAAGCTTGGTCATAGGATTTTCACTTTGCTAGCATTCAAAGAGAGAGAGATATTATCTCTCAGCTGTAAGTCCTTAATAGACCGCCTCGTACACAAGCCAATGTGGAGGAAGAAAAAAGTTTCATGAGTGAGCTGACAAAGTTATGGAAGGATGAGGAAGATTTTTGGAGATAGTGTTCTAGAGTGAATTGACTGCATTCAGGTGATAAAAGCCATCGTTCTTTCACTCGAGCACTGTGCATAGAAAACACAGGAATAAATTCTAAGACTCAAAGATGAGGAGGGTAATAGGGTTGAGGATGAAAGAAGACATAAAGGGATGGCCGGGGATTTCTACAAGGGCCTTTTCAAGGCTAGAAACTCAACACCTTTCGAGCATCTCTTGGAGAACTTCCCGAGACAGGTCTCTGATGAAATGAATGAGGACCTTTGTGCTCCAGTTAGCAATGAAGAAATCAGGAGAGCGGTTTCTCTCCCGATGGTTTTCTGGGCATTTCTATCGCATATTCTGGGCACGGTCGGTGAAACTCTATGGAGGAAAGTAAAGATTTTCTTTGAAACAGCAATGATGCCTGATGGGTGGAATGATACCCATATTGTTGTGATCCCAAAGGTTGATCATCCGGAGATTATTGGCCAATTTCATCCTATAAGCTGCTGCAACTTCAGGTACAAAATTATCTCAAAGATTATTACCCACCACCACCGCTCTCCTCTCTCCCTTTTTCGCTCGGCCTTCCCCCATTTATTCAAGATTTTGTTACCAACCCTACCCTGAATTCGAAGAGATTTAAGCATCAAAACCACGCTCGCACTAGACTCGTCGTCTTCCACAGGAGCTTGCAAGTTTAGATCTAGAAATCTGTATTTTTTGTCGATTTTGGCAGCTGCTGGAGATGGTGGTGGTGGGGTAGCTGCTGTCGGCGACTGGTAGGAACCACCCTGATTCGTGCTGCTGCTACTTCCCCTCGCTCTCCCTGTCCTACACGATGGAGGAAGACCCGGCAAAAGAAAACTCTTGATCTACAATCTGAAAGCTCTTCCTCGGGTTCTCCCTCATCTCGTAAACCCAATCGCCGACTCCGCTGAAACCTCCATCTGCCACCCCCGTTGCTGCAGATTGTCTGATCTTGACGATTTGCTGCTGCTCCACTTCCAGCTCTGCCGCCTCCAACTCATCTTCTTCTTCGGAATAGGAAAATGGGGAAGACGATTCAGTTATCGGGTAGTAGTTGGCTCAACGGTGGCGAGTAGGAGAAAGAAGATGAAGAGCGAGGGGGAGTACGAGTGAGGGCGGCGGCGAAATCGCTGGGGATTTAGATTTTTGTAGTGGTGGTGGATGTCGAAGAAGGGAAGGTATGGACGTGACTCACGAGTGGTGGGGAGAGAGGAAGAAGCTAGTTTTTATTTTAATTAATTGTTGACGTGGCATCTACGTGTAAAATTCTGTTGATTTGTAGCTTACGTGGGCGATGAGTTGGATCCTAGTCAGTATTCTGTCACAGAACTTGACGGCATCCCAAACGCCGTTAAAGTTCTGACGAATTTGGCTAGATTTGTCACACTACCTTCTAATTTTGGGCTATTTTGTGTTTTCAATAGTTATTGCTATATTTGTCACAAATATATGAAAGTTATTGCTATACTTGACTGTTATGAATTACTCTACCCAACAATAACTTCAATAATACTTTGCCCTTTACCAAAATGTAAGTTAGATCGATATAAACAATAGATAAAGTAGTTGAAAAGTGAAGAAAATGAAAGCATCTGTGATATTGCGAGTTAAATTACCAATTGGTTCTCTATTGGTGCAACCCCATTGGAGGTTGCCACGTAAGCTCCACCTAGAGTTTTGGAAATGACTCCTGCAAAGCAAGCAGGTGGAGGTTTTGTTTAGTTATCTGTGGCCTGTGGGCTGCCTCTGTCGATCGATGGGAGTACATATTACTGAGCAATAAAGAAGAGGTAGGGAATTATGGGAATCGAAGGGGCAAACGCAAGAAACTTTATTATTTATAACGATGAGTGCTGCTGACTGGTCGCTATCTGACAGGTGGAAGCAAAGCCGCGTCCAGCGTGGACGATTCGACCAGGCAGATGGGATCCAGCTGGCATCTGAGTTGCAGCCGGAAAGTAAGAGAGAGAGAGAAGGAACGTGTACAATATTATTGTTTGAAATATTAGGAATTGGAGAAGGGAAGGGAAAGGCGGGCACTCCAAAGCGCATGTAGAAAAGAAAAGAGGATCGGACAAATAACAGCCTGGCCTGGCAGGCAGCTGCTCAATTGCTTGCTGGCTGGCCCTCAACTCAATGGTCAGGCAATTGGGATTTGCTTGCACAACATTAGGCTGAGTCCAATGCTAGTCCCCAAATTTAGTCATCATCCCTATTTTCTTTTCTTTTGCTCTAATGTTACACCCTTTAAATATGAGATCTTTCTTTTTTTAGTTTGTCATTTACTTAAAACTATACTTATGGAAGCATTAATATAATTTGTTAATATTAATATTTGTATAGTTCGTCATCATTTTCAAATACAATTTTTTCTATAGAATTTTTTTAAATTCCGAGACCAAATTTTTTTGGCAAAAAATGATTGACCTAATTAGAGTTTACATACAACACTTCAAAATGATAAAGCTAAAAGAGTTCACATAATAGTTCAAATGATACAAGTGATTGGTTACACACAACACTTGATAATGATAAACCTTAAAGCTTAAAGATTACACACAACACTTTTTTCGTTGAATCAGATTCTTTTCATTAACGAAAACAGTGAGACCAATACAGCCACACCCAACTAATTACAACGAAAGGGCAATTCCAGTGTGAAACTACCCGTGCAACAAAAACACAACACTACTTAAAAACAGAAAAACTCACTCCCACTATACTATCAAGCACTACCCCTCTACTACTGCAAAAATGGAAGACCCGCCTGCTGGCAGCCATGCATCAGCATCGGGAAATCACTAAGTACAAAGTGTAAGTCTCTCTTCCAAAGCTCTGCCACTACCTCAGCTTCTCGCGGCTTCTCCCCATGACTCCTTCGACACCTCTCCTGCCAGATAAAAGTGATCAAAGAAGTCCAAATCAAACCAAACAGTCTTCCCAGAGGTGAGTGTTTCCTCATAGTCAGACATGCCTCTAAGAGCCTGGAGTCCCACGTTCTACTTCGTAAACCCAGATCTATGCCACTATACTAAGCATTCTTTGCGAGAAACTATAATCAAAGAACAGATGATCACGCGTCTCACTACCCTGCCCACACAGAACATGTAACATCCCGTTCCGGCAAAACCCATATTTCGATCGCTAGAAAGTTCGCGATTTAAAATCGAGCATTTCGACACTATTTCGACGAAAATCGGATTATCAATCGATCGGATAAGTATACGTATTAATTATATATATATATATTATATATATATATATTATATATAATATATATATAAACATTCGCCGGTCCATTTAATTCCCACAACCCTTCTTTTCCATCCATCCATATCTGTTCTTTCTTTCCATTTATTTGGACCGAGAGAAACCAGAGCAAGCAGAGCCGCGGACAGGGAACTTCTAGGAAACTTTTCCAAGCTCAATTCTTGAGCTCTACTGATCCAAAAATTCCGTAAGTTATGCCTAATCCATCCATTCATCGTGATTTATCGATTTAGAGCTTTAAAACGAGTTTTTGGTTCAGAAATTTCTTGATTTCCCGATAGGGCAAATTAGGGTTTCGGAGTATCCGGAAGCCGGATTGAGCCCAAATTTCAAATACGAGCTTCCTGCAGCGAGGTAATCAATCCTCCAGTTCTAATCCCTGAATTTCGGCTATTATTTAGGCCGGGGTCCAAACCGCTGAATTTAGCTCCGGCCAGGGTTTGATGTATTTTTATCAAGAATTTGACCCGGAGCCTATAACGAATATTGACGGCGATACTGCAGGGGATATTAGGGCGGTCTCGGATTTTAATTCGGGGTTCGTTCGTGAAATTGACGTTTTAGTACGGGAAGCTTAAATCGGTGTTTGAACGACCAGAACTGGTGAGGGATTAGCACGGCATACCGGGTTTGTCGTATCACGATAATTATATTGATGCTTAGAATTGATCTAGGTGAACTAGAATGGCATGATTAGGGGTGTATGGACTTTTGTGCTATATGATGAACCCTGGACTGCTATATGATATTATTGACTTGCCCTAATTGATATGGACCTGGCTTATGCTGATAATTGTGTATATGTTGCAAATTGTGGGCTTGACTGTTGATATGGCTTATGATGGTTCGAAAAGGTGATAGGGTATGATTGTTCATGATTGTTGTATTTGGATGCACATGTGGGAAAATATATATTCTCTGGTGATATTATTATGTTTAAGGAGGATGACTTGCACGAGGGTTTATCCCGAGGAAGTGCAATTATACGACTCCTGATTTACCTATGTTGAGCCAATTGTGGCCGGGTCAAGTACATGTGTAAGTAACGAATTATGATTAAGCAAGATGAGATATGAATCATGTATAAGGATACCAAATATGAGTGTTGTGGTCTCACGGTCAATTACATAGTAATTAGGGCTCCCTATGCTATTACTCTATTATGATATGTATGATAGTCACACCTCTCTTGTGGTGGTGACTGAAGAATTCTTATGAGATATGACCACACCCAGAGCGGTGTCGGGGTATGACTACACCCATAGTGGTGTGGGGTATGTATGACCACATCCGACGGGATGTTGGGGTATGTATGACTACATCCGACGGGATGTGGGGTATGTTTCCCGGGAGAGTTATTAGCATGGGAGTAGCCAGGCGCCTATAAGTAAAACATGATAAGATGCATATGCATAAGTCAAGGTGGTTGAGTCTTTTGCCCATTGGGACATGAGGATGGCTGAGGTCCGATCCTAGTGCTTTGGCTTGTTTGCTAGATGTATGGTAGGGGTATGCTCTGTTATGAACTCACGATGCTATGATTATCTCACTCAGCTATGAGCTGACCCTCTTTTATTCTTTTCATCTGCTTATGCTATGTGTAAGCAGATCATCACCAGTAGCAAGTACTTAGGTGTGGGCAGAGCGAGGAGTTGAAGGCAGGATGAGGTATTGTCTTCAACTATTCTGTGCTTGGACGACTACTTGAGATTTTGGCCAGTGATCCACACCTTTTTGTAAAAATGTTTTGAGAACGTTTTTCATGTGCATACTAGCTTCTAATGTAGTGTGAGATATCCACATGTGTGGAAAATTGATGATATGTGTATATTTGTGTAATTATGTAAGTTGTGACGATTATGACTTGTATAAGTATGGTATGTAGTTGCAGAGTACGAAAGTGTGGCTATGGCTAAGAAAAGCCAATGCCTATGGTTGTGAATATATATGTTGTGATGAATTATTTTGCAGGATCAGATGGAAGAACTGTTAGCCCATTACGCGAGTAATTCATGTCGAAATTTTATTTGGGTAAATTTTGGTAATTAATGTAACACCCGAGATTATTTCCGCTGCAATTGTATGAACAATATGATTAGGCAAAACGTATAGGGTAGGGTGTTACAATTTGGTGTGCCGGCCGCATATATATATATAAACCCTTCCCGTCCCTTTTAATTCTCATCATCATCGTTTATTTCCTCTTTCCACCGAGAGAACAAAAACCAGAGCGAGCGGAAAGAGCTTTCAGGGGAACGTCGGGGAAAAACTCCAAGGCTCGATTCTTGAGCATAAGTGATCCAAAAATCCCGTAAGTAATGCCTAAATAATAGCCGAAATTCAGGGATTAGAACTAGAGGATTGATTACCTCGCTGCAGGAAGCTCGTATATGAAATTTGGGCTCAATCCGGCTTCCGGATACTCCGAAACCCTAATTTGGCTTGTCGGGAATTCAAGAAATTCCTGAACCAAAAACTCGTTTTAAAGCTCTAAATCGATAAATCACGATGAATAGATGAATTAGGCATTACTTACGGGATTTTTGGGCTACTAGGACTCAAGAATCGAGCCTGGGAATCTTTCCTCCGCGTTCCCCTGAACTTCGCGCGCTCTGCTTCTTCTCTCGGTTGGAAATGGGACAGGATGATGAGAATAAAAAATGGACGGGGGTGGGGGATTATTTATATGCGGCCCAGCCGCTTAGTGTAATTATATATATAATTAATACGTATACTTATCCGATCGATTGATAATCCGATTTTCGTCGAAATACTGCCAAAAGGATCGATTTTAAATCGTGAAATTTTCTAGTGGCAGTAATACGATTTTAGTCGAAGCGGGGTGTTACAATTTATATATTATATATAATATATATATATATACTCCATACCTGTACTTGCACTAAACTTTCCAGGATTGGGACCACAGTTGATGATGTGTTGCATAGTCAGTTGCATGTGGTCAAACATGATTTTGAGTATTTGAAGGAATCTTGAAAATTTTATGGTTTAAGAGATTTATGAAAAGATGTGGAGTTTTTGTCTTGTTGTCCAAGTTTTTATTTTGGAAAAAGTTTTAATGGTGTGTGGATCAAGTTATGGCCAATATTTCCTTGTAGCTCGCACAGAAGTTGTTCTAGAAATCCTACTAACTAAGCGAGAAGCATGGTGGCTAGCTATGCAATGCAGTTGGGTTTAGGCTGTGCTAACATGATAAGTTGTGATGGTAGATATTTGAATAGAGATATGAATATGGATGATTTTGTGGTAACCATTTTGTAGGTTGATATAACCTTGTGTTAGTGGCAACCTACTTTGCAGGTTAACAATCTTGCTTAATAAGTTATGTTTTCAGCTTATTGATGTGTTTTTGTTCTGATAGCCCAGTATAGGTTTTTGAAACCTTATATTGGGAACTTGAGGTGCTATGTGTTTAGTTATGTACTTCAGATCTCCTAACCTAAGAGTTAGGTAGTAACAATATATGTGATAGTGTCTGCCAGGAGGAGAACGAGCGGATGCGTGGTATCAACTCAAGGTTAGATTTCGGGGACGAAATCTTTTAAGGAGGGGAGAACTGTAACATCCCGTTCCGGCAAAACCCATATTTCGATCGCTAGAAAGTTCGCGATTTAAAATCGAGCATTTTGACACTATTTCGACGAAAATCGGATTATCAATCGATCGGATAAGTATACGTATTAATTATATATATATATATATTATATATATATATATTATATATAATATATATATAAACATTCGCCGGTCCATTTAATTCCCACAACCCTTCTTTTCCATCCATCCATATCTGTTCTTTCTTTCCATTTATTTGGACCGAGAGAAACCAGAGCAAGCAGAGCCGCGGACAGGGAACTTCTAGGAAACTTTTCCAAGCTCAATTCTTGAGCTCTACTGATCCAAAAATTCCGTAAGTTATGCCTAATCCATCCATTCATCGTGATTTATCGATTTAGAGCTTTAAAACGAGTTTTTGGTTCAGAAATTTCTTGATTTCCCGATAGGGCAAATTAGGGTTTCGGAGTATCCGGAAGCCGGATTGAGCCCAAATTTCAAATACGAGCTTCCTGCAGCGAGGTAATCAATCCTCCAGTTCTAATCCCTGAATTTCGGCTATTATTTAGGCCGGGGTCCAAACCGCTGAATTTAGCTCCGGCCAGGGTTTGATGTATTTTTATCAAGAATTTGACCCGGAGCCTATAACGAATATTGACGGCGATACTGCAGGGGATATTAGGGCGGTCTCGGATTTTAATTCGGGGTTCGTTCGTGAAATTGACGTTTTAGTACGGGAAGCTTAAATCGGTGTTTGAACGACCAGAACTGGTGAGGGATTAGCACGGCATACCGGGTTTGTCGTATCACGATAATTATATTGATGCTTAGAATTGATCTAGGTGAACTAGAATGGCATGATTAGGGGTGTATGGACTTTTGTGCTATATGATGAACCCTGGACTGCTATATGATATTATTGACTTGCCCTAATTGATATGGACCTGGCTTATGCTGATAATTGTGTATATGTTGCAAATTGTGGGCTTGACTGTTGATATGGCTTATGATGGTTCGAAAAGGTGATAGGGTATGATTGTTCATGATTGTTGTATTTGGATGCACATGTGGGAAAATATATATTCTCTGGTGATATTATTATGTTTAAGGAGGATGACTTGCACGAGGGTTTATCCCGAGGAAGTGCAATTATACGACTCCTGATTTACCTATGTTGAGCCAATTGTGGCCGGGTCAAGTACATGTGTAAGTAACGAATTATGATTAAGCAAGATGAGATATGAATCATGTATAAGGATACCAAATATGAGTGTTGTGGTCTCACGGTCAATTACATAGTAATTAGGGCTCCCTATGCTATTACTCTATTATGATATGTATGATAGTCACACCTCTCTTGTGGTGGTGACTGAAGAATTCTTATGAGATATGACCACACCCAGAGCGGTGTCGGGGTATGACTACACCCATAGTGGTGTGGGGTATGTATGACCACATCCGACGGGATGTTGGGGTATGTATGACTACATCCGACGGGATGTGGGGTATGTTTCCCGGGAGAGTTATTAGCATGGGAGTAGCCAGGCGCCTATAAGTAAAACATGATAAGATGCATATGCATAAGTCAAGGTGGTTGAGTCTTTTGCCCATTGGGACATGAGGATGGCTGAGGTCCGATCCTAGTGCTTTGGCTTGTTTGCTAGATGTATGGTAGGGGTATGCTCTGTTATGAACTCACGATGCTATGATTATCTCACTCAGCTATGAGCTGACCCTCTTTTATTCTTTTCATCTGCTTATGCTATGTGTAAGCAGATCATCACCAGTAGCAAGTACTTAGGTGTGGGCAGAGCGAGGAGTTGAAGGCAGGATGAGGTATTGTCTTCAACTATTCTGTGCTTGGACGACTACTTGAGATTTTGGCCAGTGATCCACACCTTTTTGTAAAAATGTTTTGAGAACGTTTTTCATGTGCATACTAGCTTCTAATGTAGTGTGAGATATCCACATGTGTGGAAAATTGATGATATGTGTATATTTGTGTAATTATGTAAGTTGTGACGATTATGACTTGTATAAGTATGGTATGTAGTTGCAGAGTACGAAAGTGTGGCTATGGCTAAGAAAAGCCAATGCCTATGGTTGTGAATATATATGTTGTGATGAATTATTTTGCAGGATCAGATGGAAGAACTGTTAGCCCATTACGCGAGTAATTCATGTCGAAATTTTATTTGGGTAAATTTTGGTAATTAATGTAACACCCGAGATTATTTCCGCTGCAATTGTATGAACAATATGATTAGGCAAAACGTATAGGGTAGGGTGTTACAGAACACACCCATCTTCACTTGCTCTCCCCCATTTGACCAACTTAACCTTAGTAACCGTAGCATCCATGACCATGATCCAAGCTATTACACTCCAACGTGGTACTGAAAACTTACCCCATAATAGTATATGTCAGTCCTTGTTGCTGCCATGAGGACGAAGAGTATCATAGATTCTACTTACAGAATACAAAGGCATCTGTTGCCCATTCCACATGCCTACAGCCCCCTGCAAACCCATGTACGAGTGAACAGTCGCCCTTAGCTTCAATATATGTCTCCATGCCCATGAACTAGAAGCATTAACCTTCATAGTCCATAGATCCCCACTTTTGCAGCGATATGCCAACATCCAGGCCACCCAAAGAGCTCCAGAACGCATCATGAGGATCCAAAGCATCCTAGCAGTACACGCTTGGTTCCAAGCAGGAAGGTCCCGCAGCCCTAAACCCCCTTCGGAATGAGGCAAAGCAATCCTTTCCCAAGCAACCTTCGCACGGCCAGTATCACCACCATGCCAAAGAACATCAGCACATACTTTCTGTAGCTGTCGTAAGAAATTTTTTGGGAAAACAAACATCTGAAACCAGTATTGAACCATTCCCAGTAGCACAGAAGAAACCAATTGAAGTCTTCCTGCATAGGAGAGACTCTTTGCTCTCCAAGATCGAATACGTTTCGTGAGCTTGTCAAGCAGAGTTGCACAGTCAGCCGAGCTTAGCTTTCATGAGAGCAGTGGCAATCCAAGATATCGTACTGGGAGTGTTCCAGCCTTAAAACCTGAAATCGCAAGTTCATTAGAGCTAAAGTTCACCGGTTCTCCCCAAAATAGACCTCACATTTCTCCGGATTACACTTTAAACCAGATAGATAATAAAAGTCTTGGAAGAGGGACTTCACACGAAGAAGAGACTGCCCAGATCCCGTAGTAAATATGAGCAAATCATCCGAGAAACTCAAATGATTTAACCCAACCTTACTACATAATGGGTGATAAGGCAAAAGCTTTTTCGATCCAGCATTGTTCAATAGCCCTGACAATCCCTCCATAGCTATGCAAAATAGATACGGAATTAAAGGATCTCCTTGTCTGACCCCCTTTCTCGCTTTGAAGAACCCACAAAGTCCTCCATTAAGACTGATGCTAAAGTGGGCAGTAGATAAACAGACCTTAATCCACTGCCTATACTGAACTGGGAACTCCATTAATTCCATTACTGTGAACAAATACTCTCAGTTAACTGAATCAAATGCTTTCATGAGGTCCACCTTAATGGCACACCTCGACGAAAGCTGCTTACGTTGATAACCACTTACTAATTCTTGAGCCAACAGAATATCATCCATAATTCTTCTGTCCTGGATAAACGCTGTTTGATTTTCACTGATGATGTGGGGTATTGCAGCCCTAATACGATTTGGCAAAATCTTAGACACACATTTATATAACACATTGATACATGATATAGGTATGAAGTCTTTTAGCTTATCATCATTTGCAACCTTGGGACACAAACAAACCGTTGTAGCATTAATACCACTCAACATTCTATTTGAGGAAAAGAAATCCACAATACCTGTTATGATGTCATTCCCAATTAAGTGCCATACTTTCTTGAAGAAGCCTGCTGAAAAGCCATCAGGCCCTGGCGCCTTCTGACTATTAAGTTCAAAGAACACTTTCTTTATATCTTCAGGCAACACTGGAGCACAGAGTAAGCGAGAAACTTACTCTGGTACTTTCTTCCTAATCAGGGGTCGTAAACAGTCAACATCCACCACCACTTTCTGATTAACCACACCAAACAAGTTTTTATAAAAGCTCACAGCCTCCTCAGCAATCAACTCAATGTCCACCAGCTCTTCCCCTGTGTAAGTGATCAACTTCCTTATGGCCTTCTTAGAATTTCGAACTTTCACCGTTTGATGAAAGTACTTATTACACTTATCTCCCGTATTCAGCCAAGGGAACAACCGCCACAACCTCTTTCCAGTCTACATAAATGGGAAAATCGACATTCTCATCCCCAAATTTGCCTCTCGAGATGCCGATTGCCTCCAAAAATGGTGCCGATCGCCATTATTGATGTCGCGTTGGAGCCGGACGTCCGCCATAAATGGGGAATTCCCCAATTATAGGGCTCCCGTTGGACTTGGCCTTAACACTATGTTTGGCTAGAGGTGTAAATAGAGTGGTGCAAATTTTTGATATGTCATTTTCAATGCATTTACTCTCATTTGGTCGGTGCAAGTAAGAGGTAAATTCACTATTTCTCTTAAACCTTCAATTTGAAGGCAAAAAGAGAGAGAAAAGGAAAGAGAAGAGTGAGTGTGTAAATTAATGTTAAAATTATTATAATGTGTATTATTATATTTAAATAAATATATTTTGAATAAATATATATTAAAGAGTAAGAAAGAATATAATTATTATGTAATCATAAATAATAACTTTTATAATATTATTATTATTATTAATATAAAATTTGTCCGTGAATTGCAAGTTTGTCAAATTGACTCCAATTGTTGAATGTGCTTAATGAAGTTTGACTCAAATTTGCGTTGAAAAGTATAGAGAAGAAGTCATGAAAAAAGTAGAATGAGAAAATGTTTGCGATTGGACCGCGGTTCTCATGAGTTTGGTTCGGTCCGGACAAGACTGAATAGTTGCATTCCCTACCTAGTTCGGGTTCACGGTTTGACTTGAGAATAAGTTTGTCAAGGTTCGTCTAGTCAAATCGAAATCAACATGTCGACAAACAACGTTCTAGCGGGAGATATGAGCTAGCTATATGTCTTGACCATAGGTTGTGCTTCGAGCTTCGGGATTGCTCGATCAATGATTGTATTAATAATTACTTTTATTAAATCATATTTGTTAATATTTGGGATTATTATATAAAGTTTTTTATTTTATTATTTTACAGGGAGCAAGGCAACAAAATTAACTTTTTTTTTTTGACAAAGTCAACAGAATTAACTTGAAGCTTAGTTAGTTTGAGATTATGGTATGAACGAGAACGAAAGAGGAAGGAGTTAATGAAAAGTTATTGAAATACTATATTGGTCGGAAGGGAAGTAGGTTTTTAAATCGATATGAGTTTCAACTTCTTCTTTTGAAAAGTAATCGTCTATTCCAATTTCTATATATAGTTTATACTTTATACACATAACTTGCATGTCAAGAAATTTTAATATATGTAAGATATAACAAGTGTGTCATTAACTAGACTCGATGTCACTTCCCACTTCCAGTTTGTTTGTAGCTAGCTAGTATGTCGTGT